GGTTTGGAACCAGCATCCACTGGCCAGGTGGAGGCCAGGAGAGAGCAGGAGGTGAAACCAGCAGAGTAGAGAAGAGGGTGGTGGCCGCACCACAGCAGGGATGACGTGGAGGTTGGGGGGGAGACACACGCAAGTCAGTACCACCCGGAGCGGGAATCAGGAGACACACGCAAGTCAGTACCACCCAGAGCGGGAATCAGGAGACACATGCAAGTCAGTACCACCCGGAGCGGGAATCAGGAGACTGGGATGACAACAGGGGGTGTCAGGAAGGAAGGAGGCACCATCGGGGCAGGAGGAGCGGGGTGGGAGGGAAGACGAGGGCTGCAGACCTAGGCCCTGAGTGCATGATCAATCAGGGACCCACCAACGACAGGGTTGCTGGGCCCTGGAGCAGAGCCTCGACCTCAAGCCCCTGCCCACTGGGCCCGGGGCCAGGAGCAGGCTGCAGTCTGTGGGGGTGGAATGCCTAGTGGGGCTGGTGAATGTTTGCCTGGTTCCTGAGAGCCCCAACTGCAGCCTGCACACGTGGCAGCCAGCACAGCTCCGCACACGGCATAAAGAGGAGACGCCGTCTCAAGTGATGGCACTTCACCATCCGCACTTGACATTCCCCAGGCACTCCACAGGCATTAGCTAATTAATCCTTGAGTCTGTTGAGCCCCAAAAGAACTCCTGGAGGCTCCACTCCTACCCGATGCATCCGGGGGATAGAGAGTCAGCCTTGCAGACAACAGCTCGCCCGCTCCTCCCAGGCAGAGAGGCCAGACGGCTGCCAGGCAAACAGCACCGGAGCCTTCCTGGGAAAGAGACAGGAAGGTGGGGAGAGGGGCGGGAGGCCGCTATGCACTCAGGTCCCCACTGGGAACAGCCCATGAGCACCCAACTGTTCCCTGGGCATCTGAGGGTCTTCCTGTTTAGCCCTGAAATTATCCAGTGGGGGCTGACATTGTGGCACAGTGGGTGAAGCTGCCACCTGTGGCACCAGCATCCCATATCAGAGCGCTGCTTTGAGTCCTGGCCGATCCAGCTTCCTGCCAGTGCCCTGGGAAGGCAACAGAGGATGGCTCAAGTGCTTGGGCCCTGCCACCCATGTAGGACACCCAGACTGAGTTCCTATTTCATGGCTTCATCCCAGCCTAGACCTAGTTGTTGCAGCCATTTGGGGAGTGAACCAGCAGATGAAAGATGTCTCCCCCCCTTCTTTCTTTCTTTAAATAAATAAATGTTTTCTTAAAATTATCATATGATATACAAGCACTCTTAGATTGGGTTCTCCCAGAGGAGTCCTTGAGACATGGATCAAAATACAAGCAGTTTATTTGGGGTGTGACTGCAGGAAGCCCCAGTCCAGAGAGGGAAAAGGGGCCAGAGAAAGGGACAGGACAATGAAGGCTGCGCTGTGGAGCAAGTGAGCTCCGTCTGTCTGCTCTGACAGCTCCGCAGTCTGTGGCACCCCCTGAGGCATCCCACTGAGGGGTGAGTGAGCTGGGCGTTTATCCTCCAGCCTCCGTCAGTCACAGATTGAAAGTCGTGGGGGAAAGCATTAACTCCCCACAGCAGCTAGCCCATGCCACCCAGGCACTCGGATCCACCTGCAAGCATTTAGACAACTGTCTGTGGCAGGAGTCACCATGCTGGGGACATGGGAGGGAGAGACACTGAGAGCTGAGGACAAAGCACCTGCTGTGCCTGGGAAGACCCAGCCATTCTCACTTCCATTGCCAAGGAACCTGGGGCTGAGCCACGAGACCTCACTTGGCCAAGGTCAAACAGGTGGAACATGGTGAAGCCTCAACTGGAACCACGCCACTGTCTTCCAAGCCTTGCATGCCTCTTTCTCCTCATCCTGGACGCATGAATAAGGGGCAGGCCAGCCTGCTAACAGGGTCCTCTCTCCCTGGAGGAGCCCCTGAGTTGCAGACGTAATGACAAATCCACCTATTGACAAAGTCCCAAACCGCGCGGGTACCCTTTCCCAGCAGCTTTGACTGCTGCTTAGCAAACCCCCCAGATTTCTCCTTGGGCTTTTAATTCATTGGGTAGCTCTGTGGTGTGCAGACTCACGGGCTGTAAATTCCCCCTCCTGGCGCTGCCCCCACCTCTGCTGCCGGAGCTGAGCTTTGTGTTTGCTTGCGCGAGCCAGCGGTGAGCATTTATCGCTGGTTAGAGAATTGAATCTGGCAGGAGAGATTTCTGTGCATTTGGGGGATTCATTTGCCAAGCGCCTTTGCCAGCAGAAACGCTAAGGATGGCAGCCCGGAGTGGGGGGGGGGGGGCGCAGGCAGCCTGGCCTAGGAGGCCAACCCTGCTGTAGTATTGGGTTCCCGCAGCCCTCTCTGCCTTCTGCTTCCTAATCCACCCAGTCCCAGAAGCCCCACAGCCCAGGAAGGAAGCTGGGGAGAAGGAGATGGAGAGGGGCAGGGATCTGGGGACCTGGCATCGTCCCTCATGGTAACAGGTGAAGCAGGAAGTGGGGTGATCGCAATGACTATCAGGTCGGGCCAGTTCCGGGTCATGAGCAAAACAGCGCTCAGAAGTCCCAGAGAGGCCACTAAGTGAAGATGTGGCAGGTGCAGCCGTCACCACCCTCCAGAGGCAAGCAGGAAATGGCCCACACTGCTTCTCAAGGGGCAATCACTGGGGCTGGCCTGGAGGTAGAGGGTTACGCCATGGTTTGCCGTGTCAGCAGCCCCTATCCGGGTGCTGGTTCAAGCCCCAGCCACTAGGGCCTTGACCCCAGCTATTTTGGGAAAGCTCACGCCAAGGAAACTGGCAAGCACTGAAAATGAGAGCTTTTTTGTTTTCCATGACTGCCGGTGTTTTCTGGTGTTTATCAGCACAGTGCTGGTCGCCACTGCCCTGAGCAAAGCAACTCCTCTCGTCTGAGACGGTGCAGATGCCGCGTGTTCACACGTACTGTGCGCCAGTCGTTAAAATACCAAGTCAGTTTAATTTTGGTTGGTATACGGCTGACATCCCAAACCCCTTGTGAATCTCCCTTCCTCCCTAACTGCCCTGCGCATACCCCAATGTCATTAAAGCTTTGCCCTCTCGCCTGCTGTGGCACCAGCTGATTGGCCAATACTTGTGGAACGTGTTACACAGACGACTCAGTATTCTTTCTTTTTCTTTTTTCTTTTTTTTTTTTTTTTTTTTTTTTTTTTTTTTTGACAGACAGAGTGGACAGTGAGAGAGAGAGAGAGAGACAGAGAGAAAGGTCTTCCTTTACTGTTGGTTCACCCTCCAATGGCCAGCCGGCGCACTGTGCTGATCTGAAGCCAGGAGCCAGGTGCTTCTCCTGATCTCCCATGCGGGTGCAGGGCCCAAGCACTTGGGCCATCCTCCACTGCCTTCCCTGGCCACAGCAGAGAGCTGGACTGGAAGAGGGGCAACCGGGACAGAATCCGATGCCCCGACTAGAACCCGGTGTGCCGGCGCCGCAGGCGGAGGATTAGCCTATTGAGCCACAGCGCCGGCTCAACTCAGTATTTCTACACCACCTCTGCTGTCAGCTGTCCTACAGGCCAGCTGTCAACATCTCCTTTTTCTGGTGAGGGACCGGAAGCACTGAGGGAGAAATCAACTTGCCCTGAGCCACACAGCCAACAAAAAGCAGAGCTTGGATGAAGTCCACTTGGCCTGGGCCCAGCCAGTGTTCCTAACCACTGGGCCACACTGCTTCTCATCAGCACAGATGCTGGCGCTGGGGACAGGGGTTGGGCTCCAAGTCCTGGAGGGTGAATGGAGTGAGGTGAAGCCTCTGCTCAGGTCAGCTGTGTGGGACCATGAGCTCGAAGGGGCCAGACAGTGGAACACGGACACTTGTGTGCTGAGCATGTCTGAACCCCAGGTAGTAGAATCAGCCCACCCGAGAGGGCCCAGCAGCAAGGAAGCCCCAAGGCCCCACAGGCCAGGCTGGAAATGAGGGCTCTCAAGACAAGATGGGCCCAGGAGACCAGGGTGGTCCAAGAAGCCTCACAGCTGCGCCATTGGACACTGCAGGGGCTGGAGAGATGAGAGGAGATGGCCGGGACTCAGGCACCTCCCACCCCCACCCTGCTTTCACTTCCACTGCATCCCCTCCCCGCCCCTCTGTGTCCAATCCAAATCCTCAAAAGTAGCCCCATGCCTGCCCCCGGGAAGCTTCCAGCCTGACCCAAGGAGAAGCTGCACGCAAGTGTGAACAGCACTAAGTATCTGGTCACCAAGCAGATCTGGTCGTGGCTGAGACACTACAGAGAAGTTTCCAGAAACAAGGGGCCAGATGCCCCCATCCACTCTGCCCATCGTCCATGAGACCACACACAGATTTCCTATTGCTTCCATTCTCAGATGCAATGTGTGCCATTATGAGAATGAATCACTAAGTTAGCAGTTTTCTGGAGGAAAAATACTGCCGCATTAAACATATGCGACAATGCTAAGCGCCGTCCTGATTTCAGAAATGTGCATTGCAAGACAGAAAACACATCCTCCTGCTCCAAGGGCACTGGGACAAAGGACAGAGCCCAGACCCCTCCAAGCTCCCCATTCATTCATTCAGCAACTGCACAGTGAAAGCCTCCTGCTGAGGACACAGCACGGAACAGGGCAGGGGAGTCTGGCTCCCTGCTCTCCCGAGCACCCAGCCAAGAGGAGCCAGGCATCACCTCAGCAAGACAGACAGACAGACACCTTCGCACTTACAAAGAGGGATGTGTGCTGGGGAAGAAAGAGCAGATGGGGGTGGGGTGGGGGGGGCCGGCACCGCGGCTCACTAGGCTAATCCTCCACCTAGCGGCACCGGCACACCAGGTTCTAGTCCCAGTCGGGGCGCCGGATTCTCTCCCAGTTGCTCCTCTTCCAGTCCAGCTTTCTGCTGTGGCCCGGGAGTGCAGTGGAGGATGGCCCAAGTGCTTGGGCCCTGCACCCCATGGGAGACCAGGAGAAGCACCTGGCTCCTGGCTTCGGATCAGCGCGGTGCGCCGGCTGCAGCGCACCAGCCATGGCGGCCAGTGGAGGGTGAACCAACAGCAAAAGGAAGACCTTTCTCTCTATCTCTCTCTCTCTCTCACTATCCACTCTGCCTGTCAAAAAAAAAAAAAAGCAGACGGGGAAGTGGTGAGAAGACTACAGGGGACGGAGCATCCAGGGGAGCCCCCACAGAAAGATGCCCCCTGTAAAGGAGGGAGCTCCAGAGAGGGAAGGCAGGGGCCATGGCCCCATGGCAGGCAGGCTGGGCAGGGTGGCACAGAGCCAGGCCGGAGAGCTCAGGCCAAGTCGGTCTGGGCACAGCCACACAGGCCCTTGCAGGGGGGGGTTGTGTTTTAATCCGAGCGTGACTGGAGAACTTGGATGAGCAGGGAACCGGCAGTTCTAAGGGAGCTCTTGGAGGGCCCCTCTGGGGCTGGTTGATGTCAGGCCTGTTGGAGGGTGGGAGAAGGAGAAGGAGCGAAGGCGGCTGCAGGGCTGGGCCGGCGTTCCAGCAAACAGGGCAGCTGGGACAGAGGCTGCGGCCGTAGAGGAGGAGAGAGCAGGTGGGCTCAGAACTCCGAGAGAGCCAAGAGCACGTGGTGAGGGGCTGCAGATGGGGAGGGGGGTGCTCCATGAGTGCCTCATTCAGGCAGGCTGGGTCGCTGTTGGCCGGAAAGACACCAGGGTGTACACACTCCCTGTCCATGCGAGGGGAGAATCTCAAGCTGCCAGGACAGAGTCGGCAGGTGTGGGGGCCTCAGGAGGGCCCGAGAGAGCCCTCCCCTTCCTTGTCACGTACTCAGCGAGACCCGAAGTGGACGATCAGAGGGTGACCACACAAAATAAACACCTTACAAGGACGAGTTTGTAAGATGAAGAAAACACAGAGAAGCATGGTCCTGGAAGGCTTCATGGAGGTGACGATTTCTCCCCTATATCTAGAAGCACAAGGAGAATCTGAACAGGTGAGGAGGCTGGGGAGGGCGTGCCCTGACCGGGGCAGGCAAGGGTGGACAACCACAAGGTAGGGAGACCCAGACGGCACAGACGAATCCACCTCTCCCCCTTCCCCGCACAGCACGGCTGCTTTCCTGCGCTGCCATACCTGATTCAGGGGCTGCTACAGCTCTACCCTCTTTCTTTTTCTTAAGATTTATTGAGGGACCAGCGCTGTGGCAAAGTGGGTAAAGCCACCTCCTGCAGTGCCGGCATTCCCATATGGGGGCCAGTTTGAGACCCGGCTGCTCCATTTCCGACCCAGCTCTCTGCTATGGCCTGGGAAAACAGTAGAGGATGGCCCAAGTCCTTGGGCCCTAGCACCCGCATGGAAGACCTGGAAGAAGCTCCTGGCTCCTGGCTTCAGATTGGCCCAGCTCCAGCCATTGCAGCCTTTTGGATAGTGAACCAGTGTATGGAAGATCTCTCTCTCTCTCTCTCTCTCTCTCTCCTTCCCTCTCTCTCTCTCTCTGTTTCTGCCCCTCTGTAACTCTGCCTTTCAAATAAATAATCTTAAAAAAAATCAGGGAGGGGAGGAGAAAAGGAGGGAAGGGTGCATAGAAAAGATTTATTCATTTCTTTGAAAGGCACAGAGTGACAGGGGCATGGGAGAGGGACTGGGAGATCTCCTATCTGCTGGTTCACTCCTCAGATGGCCACCATTGCTGGGGCTGGGCCAAGCTGAAGGCAGGAGCCAGGACTTCATCCAGGCCTCCACTGTGGGTTTCAGGGGCCCACAGATACTTGGGCCATCTTCCGCTGCTTTCCCAGGCACATCAGCAGGGAGCTTGATCAGAAGTAGAGCAGCTGGGACCCAAACCTGCACTGACAGGAGATGCTGGCGCCTCAACCCGCTGTGTCACGATGCCAGCCCTCCGCTTTCTTTTTAAAACCCCATTAAGATATAATGGACACACAATAAGCTGCACATAATTGAAGTGTGCATTTTAGTAAGCTCTGACATGTAACAGCACCCATGAAACCACCACCACCATTGGGTAATGAACTTACCCATCATCCCCACAGATTTCCTCCTGCCCCTCCGGCCAGCCCCCTGCCCTCTTCTCCTGGCGACCACTGGTTCGTTTTGTCACACGCAAGACATTAGTTTGCATTTTCTAGAGTTTTACATAAACAGGATAATAGAGTACTGCCTTTTCTTTTGCTGTTTTTCACTCAGCACAGTTATTTGTGATCCACTGATGTTATTGCGTTTAGCAATAGTTCCTTCCTTTTATCACCGAGTATCATTCCATCGCGTGTATTTGGCACAGCTGGTTTATCTGTTCACCTGTTGATGAACTTCTGCATTGTCTCCCGTCTGTGGCTACTACAAGTGATATGAACAATTGCATACAGGTTGTTACACAGACATAGGCTATATTTCCTCTCGGACAAACAGCTACCTGCAGAATGGCTGGATCCTTGGTTCGTTCTTTCTTTCTTTCTTTTTGACAGGCAGAGTTAGACAGTGAGAGAGAGAAAGACAGAGAGAAAGGTCTTCCTTCCCGTTGGTTCATCCCCCAAATGGCTGCTACAGCCGGTGCGCTGCGCCAATCCGAAGCCAGGAGCCAGGTGCTTCTCCTGGTCTCCCATGCGGGTGCAGGGCCCAAGCACTTGGGCCATCCTCCACTGCCTTCCCAGGCCACAGCAGAGAGCTGGACTGGAAGAGGAGCAACTGGGAGAGAATCCGGCGCCCCGACCGGGACTAGAACCCGGGGTGCCGGTGCCGCAGGCGGGGGATTAGCCTGTTGAGCCACGGCACCGGCCTTCCTTGGTCCTAAGAAACCAGCAGACTCTTTCAGAGCATTGGCCCGTTTACTTCCCACCAGCAGCGAACTCCTCAACAGTGATCCTGGCTCAGATTTACGCACTCCCGTCTTCCACTCACAAAACTGCGCTTTCTTCCCCAGAGCCTGGGCACGTAGTTTGATGGGTAGCACTGGGTGCCAGGAGGGACGATGGGAAGGCGTGTTTGCAATCGGCAGTGTCTCCGGTACCCAGGCTGCATGGTCCTGTGCTTTGCAGCCTCCCCTCTGCCCGAACCCCAGCAGACCTGAGGGCTCCTCCAAAGGCTACTGCTGGCTCCAGTCACTGGACAATTCACCCTGGACGGAGGAGCCTGAATCAACTGTGACCTCCATGGTGGGGGACCAGGCCCCAAGCCCCTGGGTCTTCTCCGGCCCACCACTGCCCACCCTCCGGGGCAAAGGGACCCCCAACAGGATGAGGTAGAGCCTTCCTCCCTCACAGGGAGAGAGGAGTGCGTGAGATGCTTCGCATGCAGCAGCCGCGCCGCTGCGACAAAAAAAGGCAAGTTCAAAGGTAATTGGACGAGGGGTTTTAAGCACGGCTGTTCCCGCAGCAAACTGTTTCATGAATACCCATCGGGATCCGTCCATATGGACAGCAGAAGGCTTCCTGCTGTTCTCTTGCTAATAAAAACTGTTGTGATTACATTTCCAATCCTGCTGGAACGGGGCCTGGGCCGGCCGCAGCGTGGCGTGCCTGGAATGCCTCCTCCAGCCCATAGGCAGCACCTGACCCACCACGGAGCGCGCGGGGCCGCGCGCACCGCGAGCAGACGCAGGGCCCTGGGGGATTGGGGGCTACAGCGGTGTGGGGGCGCCCGTGACTGTGCAGCCTCCCTCTCGTCCTAATGATTGAAACGACCTCCCTAAGTGGTTCCAGTTACCGGCATTTTCCGGTTAATTTGAGGTTAACCTGCAGCCGCTTCTTTACTTCAGTCTCTGTGTTGAAGTGCACCTGTTTAATTGCACCCCTACCCTCGTGCCCGAGAGCTCAGCCCCTGGTGTCTGAGAGAACAGCTTCCCCAGGTCTCTATCCCAAACGCTGCCTCCTCCAGGAGGCTTGCCCTGAATGTCCCTAGCCTGGGGGGAGGATCCTGTCACACAGGCTACAGCTGTGGCTCCTTATCTTCTCTCCCCCTTCCAGGGCATGGGGGGTACCTGGCCTCTGAAGCCTCACACACACACACACACACACACACACTAGGTCCACAATAAATGAATTAGAGGCCAACATTGTAGAGTTAAGCTGCCACCTGCAACACCTTCATCCCATATGAGTACTGGTTTGAGTCCCAGCTGCTCCACTTCTGATCCAGCTCCCTGCTAATGTACCTGGAAACACAGCAGAAAATGGTCCAAGTATGTGATTCCCTTGCTATACATATGGGAGACCCAGATGGAGTTCCAGGCTCCTGGCTTCAGCCCGGCCCAATCCTGTCCTTTGTGGCCATTTGGGGAGTGAACCAGTGGATGGTTCAGGGGTGTCAGGGATCCTAGTACTTGGGCCATCACTGCTGCTTCCCAGGGTATGCAGTAGCAGGGAGCTGCAGTCAGGAGCAAAGCTGGGACTTGAACCCTCGCACTCCAAAATGGGATGCAAGCAACCCAAGTTTTGTTTCAACCTCCACTAAACACCCACCTCTAGTTTGTAAAGTTTGTTGAAAAGAAGGCCATTATTCATGGTCTTAACAAGTTCTTGTTTCATTTAAGGATGCTTTTTTTTTAATATTTATTTATTTGAAAGAGTTACAGAGAGAAAGAGAGAGGAGATAGAGAGAATTTCCCATTTGATGGTTCACTCCCCAAATGGCCACAATGGCCAAAGCTGGGCTGATCCGAAGCCAGGAGCCAGGAGCTTCTTCCAGGTCTCCCACGTGGGTGCAGGGGCTCAAGCACTTGGGTCATCTTCCACTGCTTTCCCAGGCCATAGCAGAGAGCTGGATTGGAAGAGGAGCAGCTGGGACTTAAACTGGTGTCCATATGGGATGCTGGCCCTGCAGGCGGCAGCTTAACCCACTGCACCATAGCACCGGGCCCTTAAGGGTGCTTCTGCATTGCCCCTCTCAGAGCAGGCTCTCCCGCCACGCCAGAGTGAGTGTCTTTTGACTTAACTGTGTGACTGCAAGGGTCCAGAAGCTCCTGCTGGCCGTGCTATGTTGAGCATCACTTAAAGATATTCTCAGCATCACTGAGAAAGCCAGTAGACAAATGGCATTCTCTTTAGCAAACAACATCTATTTGCATACAACTTAGTAAAACAAAGCTTAGAGGGTGGGACTGCCGCCCAGCCAGCGCTGTGACCTCCAGCTCATCGCTCACCCTCTCGGAGCCTCCGCTCCCCCTGTGTGCTAACAGAGCTCAAAGAGCTGGCGACAGAGCTGAGGGCACCCATAGGGACCAAGCCCCAGAACACAACAGACAGCCGTTTACTGAGCCTGTGCAGCCCCAGAGCCCTCCACTGGCGGGTACAGTGGAAAACAAGCCCCAGCGCTCTGTGACTCACTTCCTGCTCATGGAGGCAGCGTGAACCTGGGGAGAGCTTCGCCGCACAGAGTCACTCGGGGACCCCGGATGACGCAGACGTCTCCAGTGCAAAGTCTCAGCACCCCACCCCAACCCACAGTGGGGGAGAGAAGCCGCAGAGTGGCACAGCCCGCCTTAATCTGCCAGCCTGCCACGGGCCAGAGCGGGGTTCTCGGAGAGCAGACGGACCCTTGGGGCTGCCCACCACTGTCCCTGCCACGTCCAAGGACACGCCCACTCTTCCTTCACGGAGCCATTCAGTCCCTCTTGTACCTCGAGGGGAGAGACTGTCCTCCACCGCGAGCCGGCCAGGCCCAGGGGGCCAGCCCCTGCTGTCAGGCCCGTGAAGCTGCCCCCTATAGGGAAAGCCTGGTGGGCAACACAGTCATTCCCATGCTCCATGGGCCAACCCGACCCCCATGCCATGGGATGCATACGGCTCCTCCCGGGCTGCAGGCCAACCTGAGCATTTCCCGTGTCCAGCCTGACCAAGTCACCTTGCCACAAAGGGCTGTCCCCACACACCCCTGCCTCTGGCCCTGACATCCCTGCCACCTCCCTATCTGTCCACTGGGAGGACCTGAGTCTCCCAGGCCCCTCGCAGGGCAGCATCTCAGAGCAGACCCCCCTCCAGG